ATTTCATCACATATGGACAAATTTAGCCATAGTTTCAACTGGGAAGAACACAGCAGGCCACTAATATATAAAAAGAGAGTAACTCACACACACACACACACACACACCATTCCCTCCTGGCACTGATGATGTTCCTTAGCTGGGTCACGGAAGGCCTGCAAGAAAACAGCCAAGCTCAGATAGGATCACTTGAGGATGCCCGAGTCCAGCCCCGGGGTACAAATACCATCTTCCCTTGGCATAACTTCTGTGGTTATTTTTCTCTGGATCGTCCCAAGGACAGTAATCCCAGCGTTCCCCAGATTCCTGTGCCGGGCCTGAAACCATCCCTCAACTTTTCCCAGGTCCAGATGAGGCACCACAATAACATTCTCAAGCAGTTTGATTCTCTTCCTGATTGTGACGGGGTTGTTTCTTTTCAAGCCAAAGCTTCTGCATCAAGTGGTGGAGCAGCTGGAAAGCGTTCACTTCGTTACGGACACGCTCTCAAAGGGGGAAACAAAATTCATGGTGAGTCGTCGTCTTCCCCCCCCCCCCAAACGAATACCTTGAGGGTCTTAAAATGTCCTGCCTCTGAGGGGGAGAGCCTAGCCTCCAGGGTGGCTGGTCTGTAATCCTCTCCTGACCGGAGGGGGTTCCATGAGCCCCTCCCATCCAGACTTCCTTAACTCGGTGGCCAACCTGGTTGAGGTGCTTTGCCGTAGCTGTCTGTGTTGCCTAGGAATTGGGGAAGACGCCAACCCCACAGAAGTAAATGGTGTCAGACTGCAGAATGCTGAACGGTGCAAATGAGTCGGAACTGGGAAGGGGAACCCGCACCGACCCTTTCCCAGGCCTCTGTTCGTCCCCCAGCGCTCCAGGGCCGTTGAAAGATAGGGGTCCAGGGGTTCTGAGATCATGTCGGCCAGTTCCGTCGGAACCTTGGGGTGTAATCCCTCTGGTCCTGGTGACTTGAACTTGTCTATACTGGATAGGTCTTCTCTTGGGGATAGGGGTCCATTGAATTAATATGCAACTGATGGACTGACGGAAGAGCGCTCTAAAAGGTTTATAACATTTGTCAGGTTTCTTGCTTTTCTATACTTCTTATTCGCCCTATTGGGAAAAAAAGGAGACCTACAATGAATTGTTTCTCGTTTCCTGGTTCTAGGGCGTATGTCGGCTCCCAAGTAAAGACGACGAGGCTGCCTGTCCTTACAGGAGAATTGACATCCGGTAAATCTCAGGCAGAACAAGGACTCCTCCCTGCGTCTCCCTTCGCCTCCTTCGCCACTTGCGTGTGCCTCCTTCACACTCCCACGCACTCTCCCCAAGCTCACCACACACCCCTGGTATCTTCACACATGCCCCTTCATGCTTCAGCCTCCCACAGACGCCCCAAGCCTCGCTGGGCTTCCCTGGCAGCCTTGCATTGTAACCACGAAACATGGTAAGTCGAGGACTATCTACCGAGGCCAGCGCCTCTCTCTCTCTGCCGTGTTCCAGGTTGATCCCCAAGGACCAGTATTACTGTGGAGTCCTCTACTTCACCGGAAGTGACCTCTTCAATAAGAACATGCGAGCCCACGCCCTGGAAATGGGCTTCACCCTGAATGAGTACACCATCCGGCCTCTGGGCGTCACTGGTAAGGGTCCTGCATCGTCTGGCTCCCAAAGAGCTTGGTGGTCCGAGTGTCCTGCCACCAGGCCCAAATTTTGCTCCAGCAAAGCCAGGTTGCATTGTCCAGTCCTCCTCAGAAGTTCAGGATGAGGCAAAAGCTTCCTGGGGTCAAGGAGGAGGAGGAGTGCTTTGGGCGTCGATGGGCATTTGTTGACCCTGCTAATAGCCGCCCAGCCTTTTTGTTCCCCTTTCCTGGTTCCTGTCTCCCTGTAACGGCTGGTCGAAGGTCTGAAGGATCTTTCCTCTAGGAGGAAGCCGAATCGGGCACGCTCACACCTGGGCAAGTGGAAGCTGTTTCCACTGGGCCACACTGCCTGTGCGTCTTAGACCTCCTCCTCCTCCTCCTCCTCCTGTTCGCTTAGCAGACCTTCTGGCCGGAGAATTGGGGATCTCTTACTAGGGGGGTGACCAAGTGGATCTCTCTGGCTCTGAATTGGCAGGCGTTGCGGGGGAGCCACTCCCTGTGGACAGCGAGAAGGACGTCTTTGACTACATCCAGTGGCCATATCGGGAGCCCAAAGAGCGGAGTGAATAGCCTGCCCCCCCTTGACCCCCCAGGCGCTGGAAGCAGAGCGGGAAGCTGTCCTGGGACGAGACTTGACCGCTCCGTCCTCTTGTGGGAAGCAGGCGGGCGGGGAGGGTGGCAATGGAAGTTTTTTTTAAAACCTCCTTCAAGTGTGCAAGTCAAACCGTCACCCTAACCAATAAACAGGAAAGACTACTTTGGCTTGGTTTTAAAAAGGAAATTCAGTCTTCCTTTTAAGTTACCCTGTTTCTAACCTCCTAAAATAATCAGTAGCAAATAAGGACATAGAATCACGTAGTCAGTTTCAGCTTGGCTGCTCCCTTAAAAGCTGCCCTTGCATCGGGGAGCTGGAGCGATTCTGTCCACAAGAAACCTCCTGGACAAGGATGCGATTCCTGCTCCGACTCCTTCCTTCCCCAAGGAGAGCGAGTGAGTAGAGACGTTTACAAACCCTTTTGGTTTCATTTTAAGCAGGCATTTCTCGTGCTTATTCCTCTGTTCCAATTGCAGCAAATCAGAAGTCGTTTAAACCAAGGAATAATCCTTGAAAAATATGGATTTAAATTTGTTTGCTTGCTTCTCTCGGAAGAGATGTTGGGTCAAGAAAATTGCGTTTTCAATACTTTGCAGAAGGCTTGGCTAGAAAGCATCCAAAACCCTATCAAGTTGAAAGGTGCCAGGCCGGTTGCGCGCAGGGGCTCTGAGCCTCAGTGGCATGTGCAGAATGCAGAGCTCAGCGGGTCTTTGAAGCCGCCTTTGGGACGGATCTGAACCCAAGCGAAAAGTCTCGCGTTACACGTGGCCGCCACACCGCCACATCCAGCCCTAGAACTGAGTCAGGTGGGGGGGGGGGGCTTAGTCCAGCCAAGTGGTGAGGGAACAGGTGGCGGTTCAAAGACCCGAGAGGCAGACCATCTGAGAGGCCTACATGTTAAAAAGGCTCCAGTGCTATTTTGGAGGTTTCCTTAGGCACAGGCAGCAAGTAGTTGAACTGGACGTTATTTCACAAGTACTCTAGAATTCACTGCTCTGCACTTGGAGCACCTGTAGGGTTCAGTAGTTGTCTCTGTGAGCAGCAGAACACACACAGAAACACACACACACACACACATTCCCCTTTCTGCCTTAGCAGCCAGGAAGACTCGGGAATCTGTCCCCAGGGGAAGAAGTCTGGGAGGCTATGGATGGCGCAGAGGAGCCCCTTCCTGGCTAAGGGGAGGGTTGGAGGCAGGAGGGAGGGGTCTCCAAGAGGCCCATCTTCCCCGGGCATTACGGCCCCTGCCGCTGCCCCTCCCCCACTTCTCCCAGGGGAGGAAGAGGGGGGTGAAAGGAGACCCTCAGCTCCTCCCCCACGGGCTGGGCATTTCGGCACCCCGTCTGGGGTGGACAGGTGCCTTCTTTGACCTGTCAATTGAATCACATGGTTGCTACCCCAACCCATTCTTCTCAAATGGCTTTTTTGGGGGGTGGGGGCGGGGGGGGGGGGCAAAAAGGTCAGAAATCAGAGTCATGTGACTGTAGTATGTGGCAACCCATCACAACTGTGAGCCAGTTGCCAAGCGCCCCAAATGCCGTCCCGTGACTGAGGAAGGCAGCGGTCGTAACCTGTAGGGTGGGTCACAGGCGACGGTTGAGAAATCCGTGGTCCCTTCGACTGGACTGATTGTGCATTATGGGCAAGGATGAAGGCAGGGGGGGCCCTTCCCCTCTTCCCCCCACCAGCGTTTGAGGGGGTTCTACTTCAAGGGGAGACTCCAATCCTGCGCAAAGCCCCGGCGTTGATGGTGGCTGCCTTGGACACCGGCCAGCAGAACGGCTTCTTTTTGACAAAGCCCCTTCCCCCTTTTGTACCTGTTCAGTGTCCTTTCTCACTCATCCCAAAAGCCCCTGGTCAGGTGGGGGGGGGGAGGACGACGGCAGCTGCACCTCCCACCCAGGCCAAAAAGTACTTTTGTGGGGGACCAGCTGGAGGGGGGAGGGGTGGCCCTGGGCGGGGGGGGGCAGAGAGGCAGTGGGGAGGGGAGGGGGGCCTCCTTTGGCTCAGCAAGGCCCCTCCCTGCCCGGAGCTCTCACATGTTACCGATTTTTTTGGGGGGGACAACGGCTTCTTCCATTGCCTTCGGCCAGGGGGACCCGATGCGCGGATCAGACCTCAGTACCGGGCCACGGCCTGTTCAGACGCACAGCTCTGTTTGTGAGAATGGCGGGCACGTGTGCTGCTTGCACAAACGAAGCCTTGTGAGCACCTGCCGCTCCCCCCCCCCACCAGCCGGAAAGTTTGGGGACCCCTGCATTAGGCAACGGGCTTAAAAGAACCGGGGGGGGGAGGGGGCTTTTGGTTCTGCTGGACCCAAAAGGGAAGCGGGGGGGGAGGGAATCTCGCTCGGATCTAGCCAGCTTTACCAACGTTAATATCAGCGGGTCTGGCCTAAGGTGGGCATTTCTGAAGGAACCGTGGCTCCCCTGCCGTGGCCTTCTGCCTCCAGCGCCCCCCACCCCTTCCAAAATAAATCCCCCCCCCCAGCTGCTGATACTCAAAAGCGGGGAAAGCAGGAGAGGAGGAGTCTGTGGATCGCTTTACTTCGAGTGCCTTGAACACACGTAATCGGGACCCCCACCTGCCCCCCCCACCCCCCACCCCGGGGGAGAAGCCGGGTCAGAGACAGGAGCCGAAACGGGGCAGCAAAGTTCGCGCTGGTTAATTTCCTGCCAGCTCAAGCGCGGTGCAGCTCCGTGACGAGTCGGGTCCTTGGGGGCGCAATGTCCGGGAAGCCGGGTGCGCAGCCAGCCCGCCCGCCAGGCCCTCGGGGGCTGATCCAGGCGCCCCCGCTCCGCTCCGGCTTCCCTCCGCTCCGGCCCTCTTCCAGGCTCAGAACCGCCTCAGTTGGCGCGGCAGACGCGCAGCCGGGCTCTCTGCGGGGCGCCCCGGAGGGGCCGTTGGCAAACCAGGCCGGGTGCGCAGCCGCAACGCTGGAAGATTTCAGGGCCTGGCGCCCCGCCGTCCTTCTGCCCTCGCCCGGAACACACGGCCCCTTCCAGGAGGACCGGCTTGCAGATCTTGGCCCAGAAGTGGCGGGCGCAGCAGTGGCCTTGGGCGCAGTCGGAGGTGCGGAGGCAGCGCTCCCCCGTGCCAGCTGTGGGAAGAGGCGGGCGGGGGTCAGGGATCTCCCTGGAGCGAACCCCGGTTCCGGAGGCTGCATTGCCCTCCCTCCCTCCCTCCTTTCTCCCCACTTTCTGGGGTGCAGACGAACTGCTCAGGTGGGCCCCCGTCCCAATATTAGTCGTCCTGGAAGGTCTGGAGGCCGACCGAGGGGCAGGCGGCTGGTGGACCTCAGCCTCTCCAGGGGAGGAAGAAGAGCCTGCGACAGACCACGATCTGCTGTAGGTTTCTCAGGAATGGACTGCCCCAGGGTGGGCGATGGCCCTGCGGCCCAAATGTCATCGTCACAACCACCTGCGAGGTAGTTTGGCCGAAAGTGGCCGGCCCTCAGCTCGCCCAGTGGCCTCCCTAGTGAAAGGAAACCTTGGGACCGGCCTCTCCCCCTCGGATCCTGACTCTTCATCCAAAAGCCACATTGCTGGTTTGTAGCCTTGTGGACACGCCAGACTACGATTCATGGCTTGGTGTGTTACCTGGCTCGAGCCCTGCTGCTGCTCCCCCCCCAAGACAAGACCCCTCCCCTCGGATCCACAAGCAAGAGGGATTCACTCCTGTCCCACTGAAGATTTAATGCAACGGGGCCACCTGTTCCGGTAACGGACGGCTGTAGGTGGAAGCCACCCCCAACTCCTCTCCCTCCCTCTCTTACCTGGGCTGCGCGGCCTCGGCCGAGTCCCCTCCTTCCAGGCAGGCCCGGCCTGAGCTGGTCGTGGCCGCCGGTCTCTCTGCTCCTCGGCCTGGGCACACACTTCTGGCGTGGAAGAGAGGAGCCTGGGGTGAGGGAGGGTCCCTCTGCCCACCCCGCCTGCCCCCCTCAGCGCCCCTCCCTGGGGAGAGGGAGGTTCAGGGTACAGGGGGTGGGGGGGGGCTACAGGGGCTTGTGGCCTTTTGGCATTCCCAACAAAAAGCCCTCCGCCACGTCCCTTGCGCGCCCCCCCCTTGCGCTCCCATCCCGTCACACCCAAGAGCAGCTGGTCAAGAGCGGGCAGGATGGATTCAGGCCTGCAGCTGATCCCAGAGGCCTCAGTCCGAGGACCCTGGGCCCAGCGGGGAAGCGAGTGGAGGCTGTCCGCTCGATAGGCTCACCCTGGCCCTGGCCCTCCCCAGCCCAGCCGGCTCTCCCCCCTCGAGGCCTGGAGGGGGAGGGGCTGCGGTGGCTGGAACGTACCATTGATGCAGAGGGTCCCCGGGCAGCAGACCCCGTTCCCCTGGCACCTCCTCCGCAAACCCTGGCAGGGAGCACAGAAGGGCAGCTGTTCCTCGGGGGGCTTGTAGCAATATTTGCCCCCCCAGCAGTCTTTGTCGGTCAAGCATTGGGTGCTCTAGAGAAAGGAGGGAGGGAGGGGGGCTTGTTAGAAGACCCCAGGCTGGGCGGGGAGAGAGGGGGGACCAGCAAGAAGAAAGATCCAGAGGTGCAGGTCTTAGCCCGAGAGCCTGCCAGGAAAAGGGGGCAGTGGGGTGCTGAGCTAAATTGGGGTACGGGGCTACAGACCAGGGAACGGAAGGGTCTTCATTAGAGGACATGATCCTAAGCAATGCCGCCTCTTTCTGCCTGGAGGGGCCCCGGCAGGGGCGGGGGGGGGGCAAGGGGGACCCTTCCCCAGGCCGGGGGGGGCGGGGGGGGGGCAGGCTCTTAAATCCCCCCCCCATGTTTTAAGTGAAATGGTGTGGTCCAGGTCAGCTCAAACAGACATGCCCCCCCCCATAGGACCGCTTCAGTAAGGGGGGGGGGATTCTGCCGTGCTCAGCAAGGTGACCTAAAGGAGGAGACTGGCTGGTTCCCCCCCTGGCTAAACTCCTCCTCGCTCCCAAGGTTTCCTCTGGGAACTCCTATTTGAGCTGCGGCAGAACAGCTGGAAGGTTCCCTAAGCACATCCCCTCCCCCTCCCCAACAGAAACGGGGGGCAGGGGGGGGAGAGAAATGGAGGGAGCTGTGGGTGAGCAAGCCCCTGGCCTGGAAGTCGGGTCCCGAAGACCAACAATGCACCACAGCCTCCGGTGTGTTATCAGCCTCCCAGGATCCTGCATTTTGGACTCCTCGGTGGGACCCTCTGTGGTACCAGAATCGGCCCCCAAATTAGGCTCCTGCCCAGCGCAGCCTGAAGCCTTCGCTGCAACTCGCTGTTCCCACCAAACCGCTCACCTTCCTGGAACTGGACACCTCGGACGAGCCCCGGATGGTATTGAAGTCAAGGACCAGAGCAGCCAGAGGGGAGCAAAGGCAGGTGAGCCCCAGAAGGAAGGTGGCCTCCATCTTCTGCCCTGCAGCAGGACTTTGGCGGTGCCTGGCGACGTCCCTGGAAGCCGTCCGTTCCCAGGGCTAAAACATCGCTCCGTGGCACCTTGGACGGAGCCCTTGGGATATGCGTAGGGGACGAAGGCGTTCACCTGCCTCTGGGGCCATCCCGCCACCTTATTTATAGTGACCTGCTCCCCTTTTCCTTCCTCTTTGGACCCCCCAGTCTCTGAAAAACCCTTTGATCCGCTACTTCAAAACAAGCCATTCAAAGGGATCTTGGGGAGGCCAGCAGAGGCCGGCTCCTCCCCTCGCCAGCAATCCCTAATTACAGCATATCAAAGTCAGTTCAAAGGGCCAGAAAGGGAGGCGGATGTAGGTATCAAAGGCACCTGTTGGTAATCACCTGTATTTCCTGGTCTTTGTAATCCCTTGCAAAAGTGGGTTTTGTTCTGGGATCTGCTTTCACAGCTGACAGATGATTCCCTCGACCGCCCTGAGGTGGGGAGGAACAGGAGGCCCGGCAACGCGGAGCAGCGCTTTCAGCTTTCGGCAGCTGCCCAGGAACACCTGCTGCTGCAGCCACCCGGGTCCCACTTTGAAGGCAGCGCCCCGTCCCCTGGCCACGAATGCGGCTATTGTTTTCGAGAAGGACGAAGGCGCTTCCTGGATCTTCCAGGGCTTAATCCCGGCCAAATCCTCCCAGGTGACGCGGAACAGACGGGGTATCGCAAACTGAAGCGAAACCGTTGGACCTGCCAAGTGGCCAACTGCCTCCGGCTCTCCGCTCAGCCAGACTGGGCCACGAGGGGCTGCCCTCTGCTCCCTCGACCTTCAAAGTCGGCCAGGGGGGAAGGAGCCTCCCACCCCCTCCTGCCCCCCTCCGCCCAGGCAGCTCCTTCGCGAAATTCCCTTCCTTGGTGGGGCTGCTGATCAATCGAGGGGCTTCCCGTTGTTCTCCTTTGCTCCCCATCTTCACTTGGTTGATGTTGCGGCCTTTTGGCCTCAGTGTCACTTCAGGCCCCCTTGAACCAACCCTGTGTGGATGAGCCCCGTGACTCGATCGACATCACCGCTTCTGGCTAGTAGGTGAGGAGGAGATCCCAGCTGAGGGCCACCCAAGTTGGATTTGTAGTATCGAGAAGACGGACTTTGTAATATGGTTGTACTTCCTCGCATGGTTATTTTGTACTTGAACTGATTTGCCTCTCTTTTTAAAGTGATGCTAACGGCTCCCCAGGTCAGGATAGGATGGGATGCCCGGGGTTCCCCTCCTGACAGAGAGAAAGCTTTTGAGCGCTAATTGGTATTGGGTTGTCCCAGCCAACTCCAAACTCCTTATGATTTCTTTTCCTCGTGGACATCTTAAATTTAACTTTCGTCAGATCTCATATAAATGGACCTTCGTGTTGCCACATGTCATATGCCTTAACTCCTCCTCAGCTCTGCCATCTTTCACAACACTTCGCTAAGCTTGCTGGCATCCTGGCATAAATGGGGCAGAGGAATTTGGGCAACTTGTACAGGGGAAAAGAAGGGAGGGAAAAGACAAGGACAGGAACCGGAGATGTCACACTGGACTAAACCAGCCCACCCAAGGACGCCTGGCCTGGGGAAGAACGGGAAGAGGCCTCTTCAGGAGAGGCCTAACATCAAAGCGGCCCCCAAAACATCAACCAAGCAGGATGCTATTGGCCACTGAGAACCTGGGCCAGGAGGGAGCGACACAGAAAGGGGAAAACTGGTGACCGCTGCACAGGAATACTCAGATCTAGCCTGGCTTCTCCTGCAACCGCCGGTCCGTAGTAAAAGAAGCCTATCACTTAAACCAAAGGGAATCGAGGGGGGGTCTCTCTTTCCAAGGGACCCCCCTGGGGCAGGTCTGACATGAGGCTAGATCTGCAATACTGGTCCACCTGGAGATGGATCATGGGGACCGTGGAAGAAATGTCGGCCCACCAGAGTGACCAGGAGGAGATATGGGGGCAACCCGCAGCTAACCCCCCCGGGCTCTGCCTGCTGCTTAGGCAGCCCAGTTCCAAACAGGCCAGGGCCCAGTACCAGGTCAGGACCCCGGGGGCTGGGGACTCCTGGTCCCTTAGATACATTTGCCACCTGGAGCGGTTTGAAAAATAATAGTAAAGGTGGGGTGTAAATAAAGCCGCAGACTTTTGCACAAATGTCATTTTTTAATTAAAAAAAAAAAAACGAGGCTCAATCACGGGAGACGTAGCCAGCCCTTTGAAGCCGGGAATACCTACGGGTCGGTGTTGCTAGGCCTGGCCTCCAGTACGGGGTATTATGGGATGGGGACTGAGAGCGAGACCCTCGTGGCCGCGGAAGAGAAGCTCCGCCTCTGCAGCCGGCAGGAAGGCCAGAGAGGGAATTCTGAAGTCCGCTGAGGAGGAGCCGGGTGGCGGCCTCCTCCTCCTCCTCCTCCTCTCTGTCCCTGGCAGGGGGGGGGGGGTCGCTCATTCCTGTCTCTCCCACCCACAGAGGAGCCTTCAGCAAAGAACTGAAACCCCCTCGACTTATCCAATCCGCCCCGATCAAGGAAATGCCGAAAAACAGCCCCTCTGCCCAGCCCCTCCCTCTCTCCCAGCTGCCTGGTGGGTCCCAGCACCGAGAGGGCAGCTGAGATCCCTGCTCTCCTCCCATCGGGCAGGGATGATCATTGGGTCGGCCGGCTGAGCCCACGGAACCGGCCCTCCCTCCCTCCCTCCCTCTTCCTGCCTGCCTGCCTGCAGCGTTTTCTGCAAGGGTCCTAAGCTCCACCCGGCCCCTCTAGGGTGGGGGAGGATCAGGCTGGCTCGGAGCCCACCCCCCCTCCAGTCTCGGGAAGAGGGAGGGGAAGGGGCTCCGGCCAAGCAACCCACCAAGGCGACTCCTCAGGCCTGGCGACATCCCCCAGTTAAGGCCTTCATGGCTAGTGGTGACAGTGGCAGCAGCGGTTGAGGTAGCGGCGGCTTTCAGAGGTCCGAGCGCTCCGGCCCAGGGGGGGCCGCCTCCTCCTGGGCAGCCTCCTTCATGTTGGCGTAGGCCACCTCCTGGGCCAGCTGGGAGAGGGGGGGGCGGCCCAGCACCAGGTTCCGCAGGGAGATGCTGGTCATCAGAAGGCTGTGGGCAAAAACCAAGCGGGAGACTCTGTCAGGAGGAGGCACACAACAACACCATGCAAGCTGAGCCTGTGTGCGTGAGTGCGTGTGTGTGCGTGTTAAGAGCACAAAAGTGGTTACAAGAAAGGCACATCCCACAGAAAAGCCTGCTCTGGGGTGGTTGTTTTTTTTGCTGATACCTGGACCGGAGAAGACGGTACTGACTAGATTTGCCCCAAGTTGGAGGAATCACGGGAGATTTTCATCTGTTCATTTACAGGAAAGGAAGAGATTCTTGGCGTCATGAGGCTGGGAAGTCGCTTTCTTAGGGTTTTCCCTTTCTACGGTTCTTTCATTTTCGGTTCTCCTGCCCCTTTGACTCTTGCGTTATAGTTCTCTCCTAAGTCTGTGTTACCTCTGACAACAGTTTTAATGAAAACTGGCCATAAAATGATTCCACGCCGAGCGAAGGCGGGGCCCCCCCTCCCTCCCCCCCTCCCTCCCCCCCTCACCTCCTGCGGAAGACGAAGTACTTCTTGCTGAGGAAGCGCTGCAGCCGCTCGGCCAGCGTGGCGTTGCGCCGCCTCTGCCGCTCCTCCATGCGCCGCTGCCGATGGAGAAAAGCCGCCACCACCGGGTCTGCCTGCGTGGCGTTTCCCAGAGAGTCCGCCAAGATGGGCTGCAGCTCTGGCGGGAGAGGCTCCGTTTCTGCTCAGAGGGAAGCAGCGGAAACAGAAGGTGAAGCGCCTTCCGAAAATCAGGCAAGGGACAAGAACAGACCAGAAGAATAGCAGAGTTGGAAGGGACCTTCAAGGTCTTCTAGTCCAGCCTCCTGCTTAGGCAGGAAGCCCTATACAGCTCCCTACAAACGGCTGGTCCAACCGTGTTGGAGCAGCCAAAACTTCTGGAGGCCAGTTGTTCCACTGGCTCATTGTTCTCTCAGTCAGGAAATTTCTCCTTAGTTCTAGGTTGCTTCTCTCTTTGGTCAGTTTCCACCCGTTGCTTCTTGTCCTGCCTTGAAATGCTTTGGAGAATAGCTGGACTGCCTCTTCTTTGGGGCAGCCCCTCAGATATTGGAACACTTCGATCAGGTCACCCCCAAGTCCGGGCCCCCAGCTGGCCTGCAGGCTTACCAGTCCCGTTCAGAACTTTCTCCCGCAACTCCTGAAGTTGGGTGAAATTCCGCTCCAGGGCCACCTCGGTCGTGTTGACGTAGAGATACATGTAGCAGGAGGGCTCCCGGGAGATGGTGAAGACGTTGTGGTACTCCCCGGCTGGCAGCTGCGGCCAACAGACAAGGGCAGAGGGACTCTGGGTGCCTGGGAGCAGCCCCCCTTCCTGAGGGCCAGGCAGCGCCGGCATCTAGGCCGGTTCTCACGCTGGGGAGCGACAGGCCTTCCCAAACAGCCCAGCTGGCAAGAGAGTCCAACTGGCCACAGGTGGACTGCATGGGGGGAGGGCTGTAGCTAGCCGTGCAGATGTGTCTGTATACAGATGTGTGTATCTGCAAACCGGAGGCCCAGGCAGGCCCAGGTGGACTTAGGATCCCCTCATGCTTCTTCCAGCCCTTTGGAGACGTTCACTGGGCAGGACAGAGCAGCCCCCACTCCCTTCCCCCCCCCGTCCTCCTCCTCCTCCTCCTCCTCCAGCAAAGCCATTTCATCTGGCTGCCTTGTCATGGTGGATGGTGAAACACAGCCCGGTTGAGAGGTGCTTTTCAGAACCTCTTTGGTTTGGCCAAAGCCAGACCCGAAGGGCTGCCTCCTCCTGATGTGGTTTCTCATCGTGTTATGAGACCCTCTCCGGTGGAGGTGGGGCGGGTGGGCTGCCTATCCCCCCTCCTCTTGGACCAGCCCCTCGAGGGCCCAGGCCAAAGGTCTCCCCGCACAGCACCCAGCCAGGGCCTCACCTGGATCTTGTCTCCCTCCTGCAGCGTGTAATTCCTCTGCGAAGCGACAACCTCCACCGTGACTTCCCCTTTCAGCAAATGGAGGCTGGTGTTACCCAGGTCCTCGCTCACAAAGTTCTCCAGGTGCAGCCCTGCCACGGGATGGGGGGGGGGACGGGGGGGGGACAGCCAGGAGGTCAGCAGCAAAGACCACAGAAGCGCCCACAGCTCTTCCCACATCTCAGCCGCCCCCCCAGCAAACAAGAGTCCGCCCTGCTTTGAGCCCCAGCCTGCGACTCCTTTTCGAAGGTCAGCACCACATTTGAGGCTCCTTCCTTGTTAAACGACAAGGAAGGTGGTTGCTGGAGGCAACAAGGAAGCGTGGAGTAGCTTTCTTTCTGTAAACTTTGCTGAAGAAACATAGGAACAGACTCCAGGTGTGGCTTTTGTTTGCTACTTTTAACTTAGCTGCAGCTTTGGACCGTTTTGTTGCGCTGACATTTCCTGATTTTTATGAATTCTGATTGGCCAGGAATGGCTTATTGAAAAATCTACTCTTTGGCCACAAGAGGGAGCTATGAAGGTGTGGATAGGACTGGATCGTCAGAGGGGTTTGAAAAATACTTAAATAAAACCCAAAGGTGCTTTTTTCCCCAAGAGGCTTTTGGGTTTTCTGGCTTTTCTTTGAAGACCTTTCGCTTCTCCTCCAAGAAGCCCCACTGAAGCAGCAGCCACAGTTTCTGCAGGGCAGAAGCCTTTATCTGAGGCCCTGAGGTCTGTTTCCACCACAAGGGTTCAGCCGAAAGCCTTCGCATCCAAGCCGTGCCCACCCTGTGGATCTGAGCTTAAAACGAAGACCCGGTTCCTAAGAGAACAGAAGAACAACTCAGTACCTGGGAAATCTGCGATGAAGACAACCTCGGTCTGGTTGTCCAGTGACTTTTCAATCTCTATCAATTTGGTCCTCCAGGGTGACAAATCTATCAGAAGAGGCTTCAGCCACGGGGTCTTCTGGAAGGGGGACCACTGGGCGCGGACAATGTCAGTGTTTGGATCGAAGAGCCTGGGGAACACAGGAATGAGAAAAAAGGTTAAATCCAGGGGAAAGTGGACCATGGATCAGTGGAAAGAACCGGGGCGTCTGCCTCGTTGCCTGTTCTAAGCCCAGGAAGCTACCGTATTTCCACGTATCGTTTTCCTCAATAGATTAGAAGCCACCAATTATGCCAATATGTCAAATCAAACTTTAATATGGTCGTAGGCCACCAGAAAGAGGACGGGGTAACTGATAACTGTCAAAAAGCAAAAAATATTAAAACAAAAATTACAGTATATATATATATATATGTATGTATGTATGCATGTATGTATGTATAGGTATATGTATAGGTACATGTACATGCATATGTATATATGTGTGTGTATTAATATTTGGGGGAAGTATTAATGTTTGTTTTAATATTAAGTGGATGGATAGATGGATATATATATATATATATTTGTTTTCTTAAGTTTTTGCAGGTACTTACATGTATGGTATTCAGCTTTGTTCGGGTATTTTCCCACGTCATTATAGTTGTGCTTTTAAAGTTGTAGCAATATATATATGGGGGGTGGGGGGTGGGGTAAAAGAATAGATAAATACAAAAAACTAATGTTTCTGCTAATATATACTATGGCGCCAGTGGGCCTAACTTTATGTTTTAAACATGATCCAAGATCCGATCTCTGTTCCTTTCTAGAACTGAATGGGAAGCAACTTCTCCGTCTCTAGCCAACCCCATAACCTTCTTCCCATAACCTGCCCAAATGAGGGGCCTTTTTTCAGTCATCCCAATTTTGCAACTTTTATATTTCCACATGACAAATTCCAAAAAGAACACTCTGCTTGGAAGCCACATTCCTTGAAGATTCTGTCAACTACAACACATAATAATCCACGTAATAATTGGCCCAGTCTGCAGAGGGGTGTGACCGCCGGATGTCTCGCTAACCTTTGCTGGAAACGATCGTTGATGGAAACCCAAACATCAAAGTAGATCTCCGGTTCCGAGACGTTGTAGTTGCTCAACAGATGACTGAGGCAAGTGGCGTACTGCTTCAGCATGTCCGCATGGTCCTTCCAGCGCCGGCTCTGTGTGAAGACCTGCTCCAATATATACAGACCTCAGCTGGAGCACAGTTGCGCAGGTGGCAGAAGGGAGGGGCGACAGAGGAGGGGGGAGAAAGAAAGAAGGACGCAGAGCATTGGATGGGCCATTGCAGCAGAGGCTGGGCGGGCTGGAGGGGAGTGGGGGGGGGGGTCAGAACCTCTAAGCCCAAATCGGAAGGGCAACTTCCAAGGCTGATACCAAAGGCAATCAGCGTACTTCACTGGGATGTTTTGTCCTGGCGGCTAAATAGTCATGGCACATGGAGCTTTGTTCCACAGGAAAGCTAGAAGGAGCAAGAGCCTCAATTATGGGCTGCCTGGTAGAACCTTGTGGGGAGAGTAATAGGACCATGTCTATTGACTCAGCCTATATTTAGATACAAGTACGTACACGTTAACCAGCGACGTTCTCCTCTGGGATATCCAAATCCTGCTCTTCCTTCAATTCGAACGGGCAATGTCTCAACCCCCCCCCCCCCCCCAATATGACTTAAATCAGCCATGCACTCTGCTCGAGATCCCAAGCTTTAAAAGGTCTTCCAAGAGTGGAAGGGAGCATAGACCACAACTCTGGGGAGCATCCTTAAAAGAGCGGGGTCAAATTTCCTGGGGTCAAATTGTATCTCGCTAAACGCTTTCCGCTCCTCCTCGATGTAAACATGTCTTTTTCTGGGACTGCACAGCGATGGTAAAGGCCCAGGAAATGACGCCGTTTGGTCATCTGAAGCCAGTTTGCGGCTCCTGGTCTGAAGTGCAATATAAGCATAAATAAGCATAAAAATTATAGTCCAGGCTCTGCCAAAGACTCCCTTCCACAGCCCCAATCTACATTAAAGTAATCCCATAAAACTGGCAGAGATTATCGCTCTGGATCTGTCCATTAATACTGTTATAGTCTCAAGGATCCAAATCCCAAGAAACACCAGAAATTTAACTACCAAGGGTCTTGCAAATGTCTTCGTGTCCAGCTTCTGTGGACATCACTAAATCTCTTAACTGGCACAACTGAAGAAGGGCCTTCCAATAATTTGGGAAGCTCTGCTCGGGATACGGCTGGAAAAGGCTAGTTTGGAGCCCATTAAATAAAGGGAACAAAGAAGGATGAGCAGGCGTAGAAACAAGGGAAGGAAAATCTTAACAAAGTTGTTCCAATTCTTGGATCCATAATCTACATTTGTTTGGGAAGGAGAGCCTTTGGTTGTCCTAATCCAAGAACATACATAAAACTGTATCAAAAAATCGTAAGTTCTGCAAGCACCAATGGGAAGGTTTTCCTCTTGAAGTCCACTAAAGAAATGGTCTCTCCAAACACAACCGTGCCTCTTTACTGCTTCTGCATAGACAGTTGTACAGACACCATCACACTCATGACACACGGCTTTTTTACAAACACCCATGCAGCAGGCAACCTGACAGGTGGCAAACTGCTGTACAGCACAGAAGGATCGCTCACACCCTAGTTTGAAGAAGAAGCCGGTGTTACTCCAGACTGTATCATTTCACGGCACATTGAAAAGTGAGAGAGAGAGACTGACCCCGGGGTTCAGGTAGCCAATCTCCCCAGTGCGACCATCACGGTAAGTAATCTTCACGTGTTGGTGGGAGCGTGAATGGACCATCATGTCCCACGAGTAGCCATAGAGCCCGTTTGTCCAGTTGTTGTAGCCCTGCAGGGAGAACGGTTAGCGGGAAGAGCTGACTATTCCCAGGATGAGAAGCACTTGCTGTTCTTCTCATCCCTTGAACAATCCCCAAGACCCCCGATCTCCCCTCAGACTCTTCCCTGGGGCTGTTTGGGTGAGTAAAACTATACAGAACTGGAGCTCAACCACACAGCCGTGATTCAAGTTTAATCAGTGGCTCTTCCGTGGCTGGAATACTACTATGAGGAGGGACACAGAGAAGGTGTTTCTCCGAGGGGCTCCACCTTGTCTGGATCAGAACTATGGAAAATGTCATCAGTCGAATACTATCAGGTCTAAACCTTTTGGTTCAGAAACCATTTATGGTTCTTTCTCACCTTGGTAATAAAGTGTGAGTAAGGTAGGAAGAACTGCTCCGTGATGTACAGAATAGTAAAAATGGCACCCAGCTTCTGCCGCAACCCCAATTTCCTAGCTGCTCCCCTGGGCCTTCGCCGCTCCGTTTCCAGATAAACGCACTCCAGGCTCTGCTGTGGAGGCTCGGTAAGCGGCAGGAACTTGTGGAAGCAGGCAGGGAGCGTGGCAATCAGTCGACGTGGCCAGTCTGGGTAGCAGAAGAGTGGGCTGGTGGCCAGCATGGTGTAAGAAAACATGCCTTTGGGATGGAAAGTTGGAGTATGAGAGAAGGACAGGCGTAGGCTGGTCCCTCAAAAGGCAAATCACCTGCTCTGCCTCCATAAACCTCTGCCTGGACACCCAGCGCAAATACTCAGGTGTGCTCAGGAGAGACTCCCGCTGACATGGATTCTGGTCACGTGGGCCACCCGGACCGAGATTGATTGAAAACTTGGTTAAATTCATGGCCCTCTTTTCCTCCAGGAGTTTAAGGCATCCCAGGTGGGACCTCCTCACACGTTATCCCCCAAGACCGTCTCCGTGAGGCAGACTGGGCTGAGAGGGCCCGACTCAAAGACAACCCTCATTGTAGGCGGAACTGAACCGGAGTCTTCTAAATTTTAACCCAGGGCATTACCATGGTGTTGGCTTTCCTTCAAGCACACGCTAAATCTGTACCAACAAACAATATATCAGATAATCCACCTTTAACAAAAGCCTGTTTGTCTAATCTTGGCGAAGGCATCATTATTCATGCCAGGTGTGCAGCTTTTGCAGGTATTAGTTAACCCCCCCCTTGCAAGAACAGAGTAGAACTGCAGAGTCCAGTCCTAACCCTTTTTAACACAACCTTTATTACCCGACACCCGACTTTTATAAGTTCTCGGGTGGCTTCTTAAAGGAGCGGTTAGATCTTGCAGAAGAACTTACCAATATTGAAAATTTGGGAATTCATGCAGTGGAAGTAGGAGACGAAGAAAAGGGCAAAGGGACGGGTAGCGTCCAGGAAGAGCAGAAAGCCAGCCGTCAGGTCCAACACAAGCCCTCCACCGTGCACCACCAATAAACTGGTCAGTTCCTCGGACATCAACAACCTGAGGGACCAGACAGGCGCCTTCATCCAAAGTTGCAACGTCCAGGAGGGAGGAAGAGGAGGGACCCACCTGCTGCCACCTCTGCCTGGCTTCTATCGCTCACCTGAAAGGGCTGAAGAGCCAGTGCCTCCCAAGGGAGCCCATGGAGTAGCCCTGTACCCAGTCAGCATCCAGCTTCTTGATGCCCGCGATGAAATAAACAATGAAGATCTGTTCAGAAACAAAGGCCACAGCATGGGACTCCGAGGCAAACTAGCTGGCAAAAAGGCGCGAAGCGGAAGCCGGCGACTACCGTAGCCACAGGAAGCAGCAGACAGGCTGCCGTTTCCAAACCAGCTTCCAAGTTTCAACTTCCTGCCCAAATTTCCATGGTCAATTTCACCACTCAAACTTCTTCGGCCACAAATGACCAAAAAAAAAAAAAAAAAAACCCTCACAGGAATTTGGAATGTCACACTGAAAGACATTGGGTGGGGAACCGGAACTTAGAATAACTGCACTGCCCCTTCGTGAATGTCCACTGAGCAGCGTACATTGAAATGAAGTTTCGTTACACGCAGCTCTCAAAGGGTCACCCCATCCAGGACATAAACAACATACCCACAAATATATGACACAGGAACAACGAATATGGGGCAATGGGTAAATTTCATTTCACACTGTCCACATCCACACCTAACCTAAAATTAAATAGTAGCTCCCAATACTTGTAATAATTTACCCATTCTGTCATCTTAAATATTACAACAGGATGGCAACTCTGACAGGGCCTCGGACAAGCCTAAGAACCCAGAATCGTGGGAAGACAGGCCTGGCTCCTCTGGGTCCAGTGGAATCCATCAGCCATTAGAGCCGGTGGCTTCCCCATTTCCACAGGGCCTCCTGAGACGCTGGTGCCAGCATGCAGTGCAGACCAAGCAACGCTAGCTGGGTTCTCTTCATTAGGCCCGAAGCAGACCCCTGTTTGCTCTTAGAGGAAACCAAGATGGAAGACGGCACAGCCCTGGAGCATACCTGCATACGAAGAACGGTGTAATTCCACAAAGGGACGTGAGCATTTCTCTTCCGTGGTTGCCAGAGACCATCAATAGACCTGAGGAAAGGAAGGTCATTAGCAAGACTAGGAGTCTGCCCTGGAGGCAGTCTTGAAAAACAACCAATTCTTCAGTCATATCCGGAAAAACCTTTGGAATCAAGAATTAAATCAAGAACATCTTGATTCTTGAACATTGTCTCAATAAAGCTGATTCTAAGCAGCCCAGAATAAACATCAGGCACAAAAAATCAGGACCATTCATAAAGTTAAAGAATAGAAGATCTGAATAACATATGCCTATAGACAAGAATCTGGCCAACTAAAGTGCAGCACTAAATTGGTGCCAGATTTAGGGTCAACGAAATTCAGGAAGGGTTGGACTTGGAGCACTTGTAGGAACCCAAAAGCTCTAAGCTGATGACATGCTTAACACTGCCGGCTCCTCTACGTTCATCTCACTGAAGCACAGAGTTTACTAACAGTTTTGTTTTACTGAAAGTAAGTATTGGTTTTTAGGTCAAAATTAGAAAACAATACCATTAATTTCCTCGGTCACCCAGAAGATGAAAAACCAGCTTTCTCTGATGGTTTGAAGAGGGTCATCTACAGAATATTAGGATTTCATGCACTTGGTTTATTTGAGCTTCGTTTCCAGCTCATGAAAACACAGAAAATTGTGAAAGGACGATGTGATCCTATGCTGTAAAGGTCTTCAAGGAAGACAATGCAGATATTGGGAGGAAGACTATGGTATTAGTTGGTGGCAAGGAAAAGAAAGGACAAGATGAGAATCCAGAAGGAAAGATCCCAACATTTAATCTGTTGCTATAAGTGAGTTCTCAAAGCTTCGTCTTTGAAAACCAGTTTCCGTTTTCATGTGACAGAATAACAGGGTTAGTTGGAAGCGATCGTGGAAGTCTTCTAATTCAATTCAAGCGGGAGACCCCAGACTATTTCTAGGGTCAAATGGCTGTCCAACTTTTTCTTACAAACCTCCAGTGATGGAACACCCACAACTTCTGAAGGCAAACTGTTCCACTGGTAAATTGTTTTCACTGTCAGAAAAAAATCTCCTTTGTTATGGGTTGCTTCTCTTCTTGATTAGTTTCTATCCGTTGCTACTTGTCTCGTCTTCTGCTGCTTTGGAAAACAGTTTGATCTCCTCCTCTTTGTGGCAGCCCCCCAAATATTGGAACCCTACTATCAGGTCTCCCCTGGTCCTTCTTTTCACTAGACTAGACATACCCAATTCCTGCAAACGTTCTTCATATGTTTTTTTAGCCTTCAGTTGCCGAACATTTTTGTTGCTCTTCTCTGCACTCTCACTCACACTGAACATCTTCCTATGTGAACTTCATGTATTTGTTAACAGAGTTGATGAGTTTGGTGAAGGCTTTCGCTTCCTGTGTTTGAATCTTGATCCAAGTATTGTCCACCTTCCTGTACCAGTGAATAGGTGGAAGGAGTTTAGGGCTTTGGTTTCTACGTCTTCCATGTAGAGATTGGCCACAGGGGTGACGCAGGTGACCCCATGGCACAGCCGTGTTCTCTGCAGAGACCTTCACTGTGTTTAAAACAGGCACTGACCAGGTCCAGCGTGGCACATATGTGGTTAGCTTAAAGTGCTGCTTTGTAGCAGCTGTTTCTTCACTACGGTGGCAGCTTCTGTGGTTGGGATGCAGGCTTCCTGCCACTGCATGTGACTCTGGCAGACTCCAAGTTGGGGCAAATGTCAACTTTTAACTTATGCAACCGGAACGACAGGAAACATGTTTACTTGGCATAACCTTGATCTGAAGGGGGGAAAAGCACCGTGGGCCTTGCCAAAGCCCACAGAGCGCCATGGAGGCTTACCAATAGCGATTCGCGTTCATGAACAGCAGCTGGAAGCCCAGGAGGCCGTAGAGATAGGAGTGGTTGTTCCAAGTGGTTTTGTCCAGGAAGAAGATATACCAGTAAGGCAGCAGGAAGAGGAGGCAACTCAGTCGGTAAAAGCAGCCCAGCATGATCCCCACAGCACCTAAGGAAAGAAGCCAGGGAGGCGAGAGGGGTCGTCCCGAGGCTTTCGGGGGCTCAGGATCAACCAGACAAACTCCGGCATTTTCTGTGAACCCATTTTTCCCCTTGATCTTTAACACAAATTGGAAAACCTTGGCTGCGTTATCAGTACGGCAAGATTGTTTACGTAGCCTGCAGCTAACAGATAAAAACAAGCTTGATCTCCTCACCTCATTGTTTTTGTACAAAGAGTCTGGTATACAATAAAAGAACAATCAGTTAATTTACTGCCCCATTTGCGTTACAAGCCGGGGTAATGTCTAACCCAGCCAGTAGCTACACTCGCAAGCCCTCCCACAATCCACTCACTCCTTGAGTTAATCAAGGGATATATTGACGCTTGGCCACTCCTCGCTTATGGCTGGGAGCGGGTAGATTTTGTTGACGGCGGCGCTTGTCTTCTCCCTCTGGCAAGTTCTGGGAAGTCGGCAGCTTTTCTGGCCCCAGCTATCTTCACTGCTGGTGGGCTTCAGACTACACTGGAACCAGTAAACCAGAGGCCTCCAAACTGGGCCACTTTAAGAACTCTGAGAATTCTCCAGCCAGCTGTGCCAAGTTTGGAGACCTCTGTGTTTGTGGAGTTGAAGTCCGCAAGTCTTAAAGTGGCCCAGTTTGGAGGCCCCGGAAGGAAATCTTCAACGGCCAGAGCTGCCCAAATTTTCTAGGGTTCTCTAAATACCTTCTTTTTCCCTTATAAAACTGCAGCTCCCTTCATGCCAAGCAATGTTCCCCCCACTTCCCCAGCCCCACCTGGGGAGAAACTTGGGGGGGTGGGGGGGTGTTACAACATTTCCTGCTTGTTGCACTGCCTTTTTTCACTTCCGGCTCTGGAGGAGCCGCACAGCAGGATGGCAGGTGGGGCTTGGTTGCGCCCTTCCCCTCTGACCCTGGGCAGCAACCACAGGTTGCAACGAGACCCAGCAGGGGAAGAAACGACCCCCAAGTTAGGGGGCTCTTCTAGCACACCCCCATGGCCCTCCATCCCTGTGCACAACCCCAGCGTGGTCCTCACCCAACAGCATTATTGTGTAGACCAGGTACATCCAGTCCAGGGGCAGTGGCTCCAGGAAGTTGAAGAGAGGGAAGCGACAAACCTGCAGCCCATCCAGGTATTTCTGATCCAGAGAGCTCAGCCCTCGCTCCTGGGGGATGTCCAAGGCCATCAGCAGACCTGGGAAAGGGGCAGGAAAAGGCACAGTCAGCAGCAGGAACCGCCGCCCAAGTCAGGCCGCAGCAGCTCCTCCAAGGATCTGGAAGACAGGGCTGATGGTGATCGGCTGGGTCTCCTTTGGGGGCCCCTGCACAGGAGAACGGAGCTGGAAAGCAGGTTAGTGGGGTGGGGATGGAAGGGGGATTTTGCAGTACCCTTCCCCTGCCACGCCCACCAAGCCACGCCCACAGAACCGGTAGTAAAAAAAAAAAATGAATCCCACCACTAGCTTGGAGGTCTTCTCGTCCAACTCCCTGCCTGGGCAGGAAGCCCCTATACCCTTTCAGACAAATAGTTTTCCAATCTCTTCTTAAAAATGTCCAGTGTTGGAGCATTTACAACCTCTGGAGGCAAGGAGTTCCACTGGTTAATTGGTCTCCCTGTCAGGAATTTTCTCCTGAGTTCTAAGTTGTTTCTCTCCTGGATTGGTTTCCACCCATTGCTTCTCGTCCTGCCTTAAGGGGCTTTGGAGAATAATAGCTTGGCCCCCTCCTCCTCCTCTCTGGGGCAGCCCCTGGGATATTGGAAGGCTGCTCTCCTGTCTCCCCATGTCCCCCTTTTCATCTAGACAAGAGGTACCCAGTTCCCGCCACCGTTCTTCCTACGTTTTAGCCTCCAGTCCCCTCATCATCTTGGTTGCTCTTCTCTGCCCTCTTTCCAGTGTCTCTAGAAATGGGGCTGGATCCCCACAACGTTAGGAAATCCATACGGTCCCTTTTTACTCCCTGGCCAAGCGCCCCTTACATTTTCCTTCTTCCTAAGGCCAAGAGAAACGACCGGCTCTGTGCCCGTCTCTCCTGGGTTCTAGTCCAGCCCATTCACCAAACTGGTTCCACACAGACATGCTTGCAAATTGAAACGTGAACTCAATGGCCACCGATAATTGGTAAATGCAATCAATATTTTTAAAAAAATCATTTTAAATTATTTGCTTTTTAAAGGGGAATTTGATATTAAAACGAACAAAATGGTTTTTTTTTTTAAGGAAAAGGAATTGGAAAAAAAACAACCATTTAGATAATTCTTTTTCTTTCTTACACCCCCCTCACCCCCCCCCAGTCTCTCTTCTTTCTTTGAATGTTATTCTGAACTTAAATTTTAGTTACTCATCATTTAAAAATCGGGGGTGGGGAGGAAATATAGTTAACCACATGGACTTCGTGGGGCTCCAAACTCAACCGCTATGACCATCCCTCTTTGGAAGGACGCTGGGCTGATCCAGAGGAAGTCAGCCACAATTGCGAGGCTGGGGAAGAAGACGGCCTGCTCTCCTGGGCACGCATGGCCAGCCCCATGGCATGAGGGCCAACCCTCGCCCCTCATGGGTACAGTTAAGCCGAGGCAGCAAACTTTGCAGGAGTCCTTGTGAGTTGCAAGCTGGAGAGTTTGGATGCCAAATTGTATTATTATATTATTGGGGCAACCTGGTTTTGTGCTCATTAGACTTTTCACTACTTTTTGTCAAGCGCACAATTCCCTTGTGTGCACATGCCCCAACTCAGGGTCAACATTCCCGCTCACTTTGATCCGAAGTCTTGGCTGACTCTCCCGGGTTTACCCCACACGGAAACCTGGTAAACAACTCCTTGGACCTTCTTCTCGAGAATTTATCTGACGTGTCAATAAATCAGTAGTAGAAATCGTTGCACTGCAAGCATGCAACCGCAAACAAACATTGTAACCACAGTGGGGTTAAAGGGCACCTAAACGCCACCTCCTGCGTTAGGGCTCAAGCTGGAGGTCATGAAAGCAAAGTCCAGGACGCCGAGGCACGAGCCGAGGGCGGCTGAGATCCCTGGAACCCGCTGGGGCCCGGAGCCACTTGCCAAGAGCCTCGGCACTGCAGCCCCCAAGGCCTGACCAGGCCCCACCCGGCCCAAAGGGGGGGGCTTCTTCCCGACGGAGCCAAACTCACCAAAGAGGAAGCGGAAGACCCCGAGGGCTGCGGGATCAGTTGGCCTGTTCAGCAAGCAGACGATCCGGTGCCAGCCGGCCAGGTCCCCACACTCAAAGCCCAGGAGGCGCCTGGCCCAGCCGGGGGGAGCCTGGTTCCCCTTCTCCTTCCTGGGCATCTGCGGGAGGCGAGGAGTCGTCGGCCTTTCGGCTTCTGGGGGAGCAAAAGACGACGACAAAGGAGGAGCAATGGGGCCTTGGGGAAGAGCCACCCCTGGGGGCCCAGTCCTCTACACCAGGGTCCCCCGAATTTTCCGGCTTGGGGGGGGGGGGGGGGGGGGGGGAAGAGAGAAGCAACGGTGCAAGCCAGCAAGTGTGGGCAGCCCAGTTTCCAACCCATCACTCCAAGGCAGGGGTCTCCAACCTGGGCCCCCTTAAGCCTGGAGGACTTCAACTCCCAGAATTCCCCAGCCAGCAAAGCTTTATGGGGAATGCTTAGGGCAAAGCTGGCTGGGGAATTCTGGGAGTTGAAGTCCTCCAGGCTTAAGGGGGGGGGCAGGTTGGAGACCCCTGCTCCAAGGTAAACCGCATTGCACGACGCGCCAGATCCCCGCCCTCCGGCGAAGAAGAGCCAAAGGGGAGCCAACGCCGAGGAATTTGGGGGGGTTGCGCGGCCTGGAAAGGCCGGCTTGATCGGCGGAGGCCGCCCGGAAGAGCCCCCCCCCCGCAAGCGCCCCCGCCCGGCAGCCCCTCCTGCTCCTCCGGCCGGCCCGGCTCCTTGCGGCCAGCCCGGCGGCCCCCCCCGCACCTGAGGCGAGCGCGGCGTCGCGGCCCGGCTGCATCCCGGCGGCGTCGGCGGCGGTTCCCGGCGGCCCTCGGAGAGCCACGGCTGCTGCAGTCAGGCCGCCGCGCAGCCCCCACTTCCGGCCGGGCGCTCAGCCCAAGGCCCGGAGACTCTCCGCGGGAGGGAAGGGCCAGCGCGCCCTGCAGGCTCCGCTCGGGAAAGGCGCGGCCGGCCCGACGAAGCTGCCGAGGGTCGGGCTGCGCACCCGGCGCTCCGGCTGAAAGCAGCGCGGGGACCGGCCGGCCGGGATTTTTTTCTTTTCTTTTTCAATTGATTGCAAGTGTATCTCTTCCCATGTGACACTTTTCTACTTCAGTGCAACGCTCACATTTAATATGACGGGAGGTTAACTGTCCAAGTCTCTGGCGCAATCGGGTAGGATCAATCAATCAGAATAGAACTGGAAGGGGCCTTGGAGGTCTTCTAGTCCAACCCCTTGCTCACCCATTTCAGGCAAGAGGCTGTCTGGTCTCTTCTTAAAAGCCTCCAGCTATGGAGCACCCACAACTTTTGAAGGCAACTTCTGTTCCACCTGTTGATTGTTCTGTCAGAAAGTTTCTCCTTTATTTCCAGGTTGAATCTCTCCTTCTTCAGTTTCAGTCCCTTGTTTCTTGTCCTGCCTTCAGGTACTTCGGAGAATCATTTGACACACACACACACACCTCTTCTTTGTGGCAGCCCCTCAAATACTGGAAGACTGCTATCATGTCCCCCGTAGTTCTTCTTCTTTTCACTAAACTAGCCGGATCCAATTCCTGCAACCGTTCTCCATGCTTTTGTCTCCATGCCTTAATCATCTTACTTGCTCTTCTTTGCACTTTTAACTTTAGCAATCCTTTGAGGGGGAAGGTCTTGTGCAGTTATTATTCCTGGAGGCTTAAGGCCCAAAACTTTGTCTAATGGCTGCACATTCAGCAATTGTTCAAAATTACAATGGCGACGACGGAGGGAGACTTAGGACTGGTCCAACTTGCAGCGCCTGCTGGGATCACAATCCAGGCCCTTGGCAACCAGCTCACCTTAATGATGATTAACATGGTTGGTCATTAACACAGGAGCTGGCGTGCTGCCCTTCCTTGGATTCTCCATTGAGTACGTGGTCTGTGAAAGTGGACATTAAATCTATGATTTTCCATCCTATAATTTGGGGGAATTTAAAATCCTTTATAAGGCGAAGAACTTTCTTCAACAGGGCTGTATGGTTGGCTGTATTGTAAGCCATGGTGAGATTTATGAGTGCCACTCCTGTGATTTTATTTCGGTTTGAAGCTGTCCTCTATGTCGGGTCTCCAACCTGGGCCGTCCCTTCCAACTCTCATTATCTTCTGTTGTTGTGATTATTATTATTATTATTATGTGAGACTCCATTTCAGACTTCATCACTATGACAACCTCACTGAATTCGCACTCCAGGCCAAGTCAGATTAGGATGAGTCGCCACAGCATTAAAAATTAAATTAATTAAGTTAAAAACATTGTCTGCCGTTGTCCTGAGGGGAGCGCCTTTGCACCGAGGCTTCGCCCGCCCCTCCCTTCCTTCCCCGGGAGGCCTGAAACCGGGGACCCTCCTGGCTCTCGAGGCGGCTCGCATTCCGCCGGATCCTTCCGGGGGTCGAGAGGCGACGCGGGAGGCGTTTGCTTCTGCTCGGCCCGTTTGCCGCCGGGACCGGCCTCCGACAGACGGGCCTCTCTCGGCCGGAGAGGGCGGACCGGCGAGGGTTGGATCCGCCCAGGGCTACCTGCGCGGAGGTGGAGGCGCGGCCGGAGGAGGAAGTAGGACGCGCGGCGAGGGGGCAGCGCCGAGGATCGGGAAGAGGCCGGGGCTCTCGGGGCTCGAGCGGGGACGCCACCACCATGGTAAGCCGCTCTCGGAGGGCTGGGAGGGCGGGCGCCGCCCGGGCAGAGACCGCCGCCGCCGGCCGCACCTGCCTCGCTGGCGGGGAGCAGCGGGGGCACCGTGCCGCCATTGCGCCCGACGCCACCCGGGCGGGGCCGGCTGCGAGGCCGTCGGGGGCCCCGTCGAACGAGGCCGCCTTTCCAGCCTCGCGCTCCGGGCCCCTTCGGAAGGCGGGGGGCGGGGGGGGGGAGACGACGGCTGCGCTCGGCGGGCGCCCGGAAGGCCGCCTCGAGAAGGGCGGGGAGGCCCAGGTAGGGAGGCCCAGGTGGCGGCCGAACGGGGAGGGCTCGGGGCGGCTCCCGGGGAGAAGCTCCGTCTTGCTGGGTTTCGTGGAAGAATAACGGCCGAAGAGGCCCCCGACCAGCTCCGCCCCTCACGACCCCCTGGTCCTCCGACCGGCCCTGCGAGGGCGGCTGCAGGGGGCGGCCTTGGCCGGGGCTCCCTCAGCCCCGCCCGGCTCCCTTGAACCAGCTGGCTCCCTTCCTTCCGGAGGCAAGTTCGGCCGCTCTCCGCCCGGCTTCCCCGTTTCTCTCAGCGCCGGTCGGGGTTCTGGGCGAAATCAGCTGGGACCCAGACCGCGCCCTGCAGGTCCTCCCTGTCCCACCTGGGCCCCTTCAAGCCTGGAGGCCTTCAACTCCCAGAATCCCCCAGCCCGCAAAGCTCAATATGCCCACTTCCTCAGGGGTGGAGGAAATAACACCGTCCGTTCAGTGGACGCCAATTGTGGAAGGCTGCAACTCCGCTTTAGTGGCCAGGAGCCTCCTTGGACTTTAGACTGTCCGCCTTTGATGGCGTTGCTGAAACTTCTGTCTTGCTTCTCCAGCGCTGACTCTCAAATTGCAAGAACTCTCTCGATAAAGGCTGCCTTCTAGGGAGTGTGTGTGTGTGTGTGTGTGTGTGTGTGTGTGTGTGTGTGTGTATAAGGACCAAGGTGCTTGGGGCTTCTCGGAAGTTCTGGCTGCAAATACAGAAGTCCAGGCACCAACAAGCGAAGGTGGCAGCTGAGGATACCCAGCTCCTGCCCACCTGGCAGTCCCAAAGCTTGCAAATTCGAAGAGATAGATAGACGCCACTTCGGTGGGAAGGCAACAGCATTCCATGCTCCTTGGGATAGAGTCATGCTGGCCACGGAATTGTCTTCGGACAGTTCTGGCTCCCTCAGCTAAGAATCGGAGATGAGCAGGCAGGATTGGACCTGGGAAACTGTTTCCTTTAAGGTAAAGGTGAAGGTTCCCCTCCTGGCGCCTGCGTGCTAGTCGTTTCCGGCTCTAGGGGGCCCTGCTCCTCTCCCTTACAAAGCCGAAGAGCCAGCGCTGTCCAGAGATGTCTCCGTGGTCATGTGGCCGGCAGGACCTTCGAAGGCGCACACAACGCTGTTCCCTTCCCACCAAAAGTGCTCCCTATTTTTCTACTTGCATTTTTCACATGCCTTCGAACGGCTAGGTTGGCAGAAGCTGGGACCAGGAACGGGAGCTCACTCCATGACGCTGCGCTGGGGATTTGAACTCCCGAATTGCCGACCTTTTCTGATTGACAAGCTCAGCGTCTTAGCCACTGAGCTACCGCATCCCTTTGAGCCACCGCGCATCCCTTACAGTTGCCTGAGAAAAGGGATTTATGGCCTATAAGGCACTTCTGGCCATTGTAACGCATCACACCATACCTTCACCACACCATGAGCGTATGGCTGCATTTTGGGTGCTTGGCAACCAGCTTACCTGTATGACCGGTTGCAGCATCCTGCACTCACTTGACAGTGATGTGCAGCATTTTTTTTGGCCCATTTCGCCATATTCTTTTTGCCGGTTTCCAGGAAAAAAATTACTCGTCCAGAAGAATAGATTCAGATTTATGATCTCATGATTCTCTTAATGACTACCAAAATTGGGTCCAGTCACTTGGTGCCTTGACTTATGATCCCAGTGACCGAAATTCCAGTCCCAGTTGTGGTTGTAAGCCTTAAGGCGGAGGATTCCTCACCTTGTCCTCATCTGCTCCTTCGTGTAACTGTTAATTAGGGGCGGGGAGAGGATCTTGGCCACAGAGGCCTAAATCTCCCTCACCTTATTCTCACTGATTGAAACCTTCCCTGACGAGAGGAGGAGAACCAAGGCAAAACTTCACCTCCTGGTCCTGCGGTCGGTCACTGTCATCGAGCGACTGAAGGGATGATTCCCCAGAGCCATCTGGGGCTGGGGGCTCTGCACAGATTCATCTGGGGCACCAGTTGCACCTTTTCCTGGACCGGGTGGCCTTGCTCATGGTCACTCATGCCTTGGTCACTTCCTGTTTGGGTTACTGCAATGCCCTCTACATGAACCCTGGAAAAATCCACCCAGAAGCCACAGCTGGTCTAGACTGCTGAGGCTCAGGCAGTGATGGGTACCCCAAGTGTTTACCCTTGTAGCCCCTATCTGTTCTGCGAGCTGCACTGGCTCCCGGTGTCTTCCCAGGTGCAATTCAAGGACCTGGGTATTACCTTTAAAGCTCTAGGGCCAGGTTACCTGTAGGACATTTACACACCCTACCAGGTCAGATAGGGTATGCACCGTCCTGGTCCCTCCTCTTTCTCGAAGCAAGGAAGGCTTCTTCTTCTGTGGCAGCCGGCAGCCCCTGCCCTGTGGAAGCCCCTTCCCCTTGGAAGTGCTTCAGGCTACTATCCTAACCTTACAAAAAGGCCTCTGAAGACCTGGCTCCCACCCATCCCCAAGCTCTGGAATAGAAGGAGGTCGGTGAGAGGATGTTAAAAATCGCAGAATCATGGGATTGGAAGTCCCACAGGTGCTTTTCCAAGAGGCAACTAGACTTTCTGGTTTTTCTTGGGAGACGTTTCGCTTCTCATCCCAGAAGCTTCTCTGCCCTCTTTCTAGAGTCATGACATCTTTTCTGTATTGTATGACCAGAACTGGATGCAGGGTTCCAAAGGTGGTCTTATCATCAAAGCATTATAAAGCGGTATTAACACTTCGTGTGATCGTGACTGTATCCCTCTGTTGATGCAGCCCAAGATTGCATTGGCTCTTTTGGTAGCGGCAGCACATGGCTGGCTCATAGCTCAATGGCTGGATACTAGAACTTCCATGTCTCTTGCTGCGGTTGAGCCAGGGACCGTCTAGTTTTCCTCGCAAAAAAGCGTAAAATCTTACTTTTCTCACCAAGCTTTGTAGGCCGAAATCTAGATCCGTTTCATCACTTCCTGTTTTTCCTAAATTACCAGAAGTAATGAAATGGGGCTAGCTTTCGGCTTACAAAGCTTGCAGAAGCTTTCAGAAACCTTCCTCAAGCCTTTGGGAGGCCGAAAAAGGCCTCAAACCGGTCAAAAATCAGCTGTGAGGCGCACACATGCGCAGTGAGATGAGTTTGCCTGCAGCTCACGTGCCGGCACGAATGGCTCTGCGTGCGACCTGTGGCACCCATGCCATAGGTTCGCCATCACGGGACTAGAAGACCCCCAAGATCCCTTCCAGCCCTGTGATTCTACAGTGGTATGAATTGACCTCTTGGTCTGGTCTACCTAGTGGAATTGACCTGGATCGGTTTCATATAGAAGCGGTCATTTCATTAAATTGGGGAGAAATGCAAAACTGCTTTATCTTCCAAAGGATTTTGCCCTCCTCGCCTGTTTAGCTTATGTCCATTCTACCCAGCAAGATCTCCATTGCAGCCCCATTGCGATGATGAGGGTACCTGGTTCTGGTTCTGCCGGTATGGCTTGTCCTGCTGGTGGCTGCAGGGAATCACTCTGCTGGTCCTGGGAGATGCCTGGCATACTTTTCATACCGGAAGGCTGGTATCATTGCAACTGCAACCTGGAGAAAACCTCTTTTTCTTCCGTCTTCTGATCTCAGACATGGCATGACTGGTTCTGAACAGCTTCCAGGGATATCACATGTAATAACAACCCGGGTTTTCAAGAAGGGCTTCAGAACCTCTCTGTTCTCACCAATTCTGGGATGCATTCAAAGCAGGAATTTGAAATTAACGCTGTAGGTTAGAAGTCTGGATGCAGAATCTATTGAGTGTCTTGCGGGATCTGGTTAAGGAAAATGGAAGGAACTCTCACTGCTCTAAGTAGATCTTGATATTTCCAATAGAGGTTCCAGAATATCCCATTCAACCCCCTATAAACTTGATGGCCATCAAGAGTTACAATACAGTTGTAAGAGCTCAGGTATCTCTATGGAACCCCAAATTAAAGCCATCAATTGATTTCTAATTTGTGAGAAAAAATAAGGGATATTAGCCCATTTGTTTTTTCCTGTTTTCTTGGGATGTAAAACCAATCCAAAATATTATGGATCAGTTTTGTATTTTTTTTTCCTTATTTTGTTTTGCTAAAATTTGATGGAAATTTGAATGTTTGCTACTTGTTTTTTGAAGTGCGATGGGAGGGAGGTCTGCCAGCCAAATGAGGGTGGTTTCTGGGACTTTGTGGGGAGTTAATGCCGTTGCAAAACTGCAAATCGCAGCTGAAGACTGCAGCAAAGACCAAGAAACCAGAGAGCAGATAGTTTCCTTGGAACCTCTCTGGATAAGGAGAGGAGAGAGATCATCCATACGTGCTCCAGATGACTGCTCCTCACAGGGAGCCTGCAGGATAGTGGTTTCCAATGGATTTGAGTGCCAGGAATTGATAGGATCTTGCTTTCAACTGTGGTGGAACCTGTTAAAGCAGGGATCTCACCCACCCCACTTTTCTGTTGACTTGCTCTTAGGACACCGAGGGTCCTTGCTCTGGTCGCTTTCTGGACAGGAGGCTGAGCACAAAAGCTTTTATGAAAAAAGATGGGAATTGTTGCATAAAGAAAATCGTTTGTGGTGGTAGAATAAGAACTGCCTCTAGTTGTAACACAGGAAATAACTACAGCATTTCTATTAGAAATTGGGACAATGGAAAGAGCAAGTTTGACAGTTGTTTTCAGCTTTTTTTTTTTTTAACAATCTTGCTTTAATCATGAGAATTACTCTGAAAACAACTGTGTGGAAATTTTGGACAAATTCAGAAGCTGTATCATTGCAACATATTTAAGAACTGAAATATTTATTCAGCTCTTCCACTGGATATTTTTCTGCCTCTTTGACAATGCCTGTAATTCTCGGTGGAATGATGTCTGACAATACAAATTACTGTTGTGCTTTATTAAATATCTCTTATACTTGGTACATTGTGAACAATGAATATTACTGCAGCATCGACTAACTGTGCGATAAAATGTCTTTTGTTCCCTACTGGCCCAAATTTTAGTTTGCAAGTTGTCTTTTTTTAAAATGCGTGTTACTCTGAAGGGCGTAATGGAAATCAATGCTATAATGACAATACAGTATACATCAAATAATTTGGGTTATTAAATAATGGACTTTTGTTAAAGATCATTTGGGCTGGTGAATGAGAAGCAGAAGTGGTCATAAGGGGCACCAGTGGGGCTTCATTAAGCCAGTGAATGGTCAGCCAAGCGGCCAGATGCCATTTAAGTAGAGGTAAAGGGGTGCATATTGGAATAAGAAAATTCAAATTTGAAGCTTTAAGACTTGTGGACTTCAACTCCCAGAGTTCCTCCTCCAGCCAGGTTAGCTCAGGAATTCTGGGATTTGAAGTCCACAAGTCTTAAACTTGCCAAGTTTGAAGACCCTTGGTGTAGGGTCTCCTGCTTGGGCAGCGGGGATTGGACTAGATGACCTACAAGGTCCCTTCCAACTCTGTTAATCTGTAAGATCTGCACCTACTCATTGGAAGATATTTTTTGTGGTGGTTGGACAATGGTACATTCCTGCCTTGCCCGAAACTCTCGGCTGTGGTGTTCCCATAGAGATGGAGGTAGCACGCGGAAGGAGAAAGGAACCGAGCGGGTGGCATCTTTCCCTTCCTTCCGCCTGTCAAAACCTTGTTCTTCCTTTCTCTCCAGGAGGGAGGCAGTGGAAGTGGCCCAGGGATGGCCAATGACCGGGTGAAGAACCTCCAGAATGAAGTTGAGGGTGTCAAGAACATCATGACCCAGAATGTGGAGCGGATTCTAGCAAGGGGCGAGAACCTCGACCACCTGCGCAACAAGACGGAGGACCTGGAAGCAACGGTGGGCTTTCATACTCGGTGTGGTGAGGTGGGAGTAAGCAGGCACCCAGGTTTCACTCCGAGGTCCAAGAGTGAGCGGGAAGCTCCTTCTCAAGTACGGGTCCAGCAGCCAGGGTTGAGAAAAGGACTAGACCCATTTCTATAGAGCAGGGGCCCCCAACCTTGGCCCCTTTAAGACGTGTGGACTTCAACTC